TTTTTAAGTTAGTCACATGACTTAACTCTTTCTGTCGACGGAGGAAGGCTCTCCTAAGGCAAATTTCCCCTTGCTGATACATTTTTGAGCCCTCTATCAACATTTTCTTCGTAAGGTAACCCAAAAATTCTTCTTTTAATCCATTTTTTATTGTGCACAGAACGATTTATCGTTCACTGAGTGTCTTACTGAACTGATATTTGTGTGTGCGCGCATGGTCGGCAGTGGCAAGGAGTCGCTGAACTGATTATCGCTCTATCTGCTCCTTTCACTATCTTCACACTTGAATATAGCTGCTTTGTCGAATGTATATTATAACGAATGGTACTGTATATCATTTGGCAGTCTCAGAACTTTACGATGCCCGTTTAGGGAGTTTAATCTATGCTCAAAACTGAAAGTATTATTTTCGTAAATTTCAATTAGTACCCGGAAGTACTTCGCTTCTGTGTAATTCATGTTGTGGCGAAATGTACTACTTGTGCTTCTCAACTGGCGTCATACAGCTATTAAATTATGTTTTTTTTTTATAAAAAGATTAAAACTACTATATATGTGTAATTTTTAAGGTTTCGGTATTTTCACAATTGGCTATCTTTTTGAGCTCCAGGTTCTAAGATCGAAATAGTTTTCAGTAACTTATTTTTCTTTATTGATGGCTCGGTTTTTTGTCCTTCAGGTATCGATGAAGATGGTTAGTGGGGTGGTGAACTAACATATCCCCATAAAACTCAGGGAATGGCAACAGCTTCCTCAACAGGGTAAGTTCTACATTATCACTCACTTTGCGTTTAACTGGTGTCAGTGCATGGTCATGCACTAGACTCAAAATTATCAGCGATCATTTTAAGTTGCTAAGAAACATGTTGTGGCTGTACATGCGTGAAGTTGAAATTGTCACTGTAAAAAAATTAAAATTAAGCAATTCTAGCTGCACGAGTCTAGAGTGTTAAAGTACTCAGCCCTACATTTTTGCTTTCAACTAGCAAATGTTCACTAGTGCTTTTGTCAATAGAAGTTCTTTCACCCTAGTGGAAAAATGGCAAGTTGCTTTAAATTAATGAAGGCATTGAACTTTGGCTAGTTGCAACCTGAACTGAATTTCAAATACAACATAACAGCTATAATTAATTAGCATAGATGAACCTTTCAAATCTTACACTTTCACATGTCTTGTTTAACTATTGGTCAGGAATAGTACTGTGATTTCATTTCTTGCCATTGGATTTAAATTGACAATGTAATTTTAATGTAGTGTGTAAAAACAGATATAATACAATACACTGATTATGGCATGGGTCATGCCCAAACATGTCTTAAAAAGTTTATTGTGAGTTTGAAATTTATTTTGATTTTTTTGTTGATTCCTATGAGTATAATTATTCATAAAAGCTTGATACAAGGAAATGGCATTGTGTTTCTGTCAGTTACCAGAAGCTTGTAATCTAGAAGGGATTTAGTATGTCCAAGAGCTGGGGTTTATTAGAGCACAAGAGTAGCCGGTCAGAATTTACTCCCTGACATGGAGTTGTTTATCTATAATGACTGGACGATGGGTAATAAATGAAACTATTTATCGAGATACTAATCAGGAATATGAAATGAAATTGCAGTTTTCAGACTGCAAACTCAACCATAGTTCAGAGAGCCAACCACACTCATCTTACTTACAGGCTTACTTTCAGCCAACTATGTGAAATTTTAAATTTTAGAGCTCTTTTAATTAATTGCTGAAAACCAGCGGAGATGCAATCAACAGTCAATAAGTAAACCATTCCTTTTGTAGCAAACAAGGACACTAACCACTGAATTTTCAGTAAATAAAGAGAGACAGTTTTCTCCATAAAAGTACAATTCTACTTCGATTTTTCAGAAGTGGAAGCCAGCTTGCTAATTAGTTTACTCATGTTATCCTCAGTTCAAGCTACCTTACTGTGACTGATGATCAGAAACGATGGCTTGTGGTAGGAATTGCACTCAACAAGATCCTTATACCACAGATACGTCCATTTGTAGAAAAAGGAGTCAATGTTGAGTACAACAACCTAAAGATCAGCCACAGAATACATGTTCAGGGCCCACATGGTCGTCTTCAGAGGTGGCCTGCCTCCTCCAAAAACTTGTTGAAATATGAGAACATCAATGGAAATGTTTCTCGTCCAAAGCTTCATGGTGGAAAATTCAATTATTCTTCATTTGATTGTCAGGTAAAGTCCCATGTGGACTTTGCCAAGCTGTATGTCCAGGGGTACATGGCGAAGTTCACTGCCTTTGATGATCACTGTGATGCATCAGCTGTGTTGTCTTTGCTTGGTGGGGTTCCTATATTCTTTACTGCTGCAAGCTCTGCAGGTGATGTCAGAATAGCAAGGAATGATTGGGCTCACTGTGCCTTTGGAAAATGGAATCCAGTCAAATTTCAGAAAAGTTTCACTGATATGGAACAACTGATCAAGAACATGGCCCTGCCTTCTGTAAATGAAAGAGAGCTTCTTGTAGAACTAAAAGACTGGGAAACAAAAGGTAATCTGTTAATTATCTTTATATATTGACAGAAGATATTTTTTATGTAAACTCTGTTTTTTAAGGTTTAAGAGGGAGGTGCATTGTGGACTGTTCATGATTTATGGCAGATTGTGGTATTATCTCTGTGTCTAAACTCTGATATGTTTTCACTTGACAGTCAAGAAATGATAGAAAAATGAAATTTTGCATTCACTTAGTAAATTTTTTTTGTGGCTAATGTTGAGCAGGTCATTGTCTGATATATTGATGGAACTGACTTAGGAACTGATAATATCCTTTTTGGTGGACTTTCCATCCAGATATTGGGCTGGAAATAAAGAACCTATTTTTCAGTATTTGGAGGCAGACATATATTTAATACATTTGTATTTCATGATATCTTTGTTACTATTCAGCGTTCTGAGTTGGGAAAAGGGTGTCACAGGATTGTTATAGATCAATCAATATCAATCAATCAATATTCTTTATTTTACCACTGGCAATTCATCAGTTATTCAAAATGATTTTGTCATTCTTGCCCTGTTAAGGACCATTAATCTCCAGTGTTTACACTTACATTAATCTCCAATTGTTTACACTGTTAAGCGTACCAAAACAATACAGTGAAAGTGATGACAGTAATGTGCTCCTAACATGTATGTATTAAATGTCTTCCTCTGCACCAATAAATTTGGTGTGTTTCATTTTATATATGGCATAATGCTTTACAATTGTCTTTAAATGTCAGCATGAGGTATAAGTGTACCATTTTAGTTTTAATTTACTTAGACTGCCCGGTCCTCTTTGCATTTATTAATTTTGCTGTAGGAGTACATCTTTGCATGAATTCTCCGGTAGACCCTGCATTGCTACAAGTGGTTCAGCAGGAGCTTAAGTCACTTCAAGATGTGGTGGATAACATGTGCTTAGAATTAAACCAAAAGAAGACTAAGATTCAACATGAGCTGCGAAGTATTGCAGTTACCTTGAATTATATGGAAAAGAGACTTCAGAGGTTAGAGATAGGACAACGGAATCTGGAGAGCCATGTTGATCAAACTGACAGCAGACTGGATAAAATAGAAGGTGCTTTTAAATAATCTAAATATGAAATGAAATGAGTTGATCCAATTGTGATTAAATTATGAATATGTTATTGCACTGAAGAGTTTTAAATTAAGAATGGAAGAATTTTCAAAAACAACAAATCAATGCAAGCAGAGTCCTCAATTAAGGGTTTTTAATATTGGATATTTCTTATTTATGCATAAAACAAAACCATGTGTAATCAACTGGATGTAACAATCAAATGTACTTTCTCTTGGTTTACTTGTCAGCTTATGAATTTGTATCTTTTCAAAAACAGTTTATTGATGAATAGTAATTCATCATGCTCAAACTCATCTGATAATTGCTTTATCAACTCTGTTAAAAACAAAATTACTGGTATTTATTGTTTATGAATGAGGGGTTACATGGAATTGAAGCTTTCTAGTTTTTAAGATTTAATGTTTTAATCTGGACTACTATTCTCTTTTCCTCATCTTTTGACATTTTCTTGGTGTTGTAGGGCACATACAAGAGAGAATGGAGAAACTTGAGAGTGGTCAGCAGACCACAGAGAGTCACACTTTCCATATTGAAGATAATATTCACCAACTGCAAGGTGAATTTTTAGATTTAAAACAAACAGGTCTTCCATTTCTTCCTTTCCTGACAACAAAACAAAAACATTGAGTGCTCAATACCTTAACTAATCAAATGTCCAGGAAAGAATTAAGTAAATAAACTACTGCTTCTTTAATTGATACTGGTTTGAGTTGAGTGACCTCTGAATGCTTATATTGTAATAAATATGAACAAGCTTATTTTCTTCCTTAATACAGAACAAATGGATGACTTGTTTAAATCAAAAGAAGCAGATTTAAAAAGATCATGCCAGGAAAGTCCAGAGACAGCTGGTAGGTTATCCACAATAAGTACAATCATTATTCTTACTGTCTTAATTGAGAGTATTTGGTCCATCATAGAAGTCTAACAGTGTCATCAGGATGGGTACATGATTGTTTTGTTGAGAAATCATCTTTTTGTTTATGAGAAAAGAATAAATTATCTTGGTCTTCTTGTATCCACACTTTTCCTTTTTCATTTCATTTCCTTGGATGTCAAGATGCCTATGATAAAAACTGACATGCCACACCTGTATTTTTGACTGAATTAAATAATTTTTATTGCCTTTCTTTATTTAAAGTGAAACTGTGAAATTGCATGCTTGCCTACTGAAAATATCATTGACAAACATAAAAGGTATTATTTATATTGATACTGAAGTCTTTAACCTAACAATTTCATTGACTTCATTATTTTGAAGTCTTAATTCTTTTAAAGAATTTCCGTATTAGAACGTAATCGCTCGTGACTTGCTTGTTTTGTGTCAACGGTACATATTTGCTTTTTACCTCGGTGTGGTGTAGAAGGTGATTGACTTTTACTAAGCAGTAGTTGTCTATTGTTTTCCCAGTCTTTCCACAGAAATTTGTAGAGCTCATTAAACGAAAATACAAAGGTGCTGTACTGTGTCCCTTTCCTTGGTGTGAAGATGAACTACAACTGCAACTTTCCAAGGTTTTTACAAGACTGAAGATAGTTGAAAAGAAGAAAGAACGAGCCAGAAGGACAGACGAAATCGTCCCAATGACAGATGCGTTTCGATCACATGAAGAATGTAAAGAGCCCAGAGTGGTGCTGATTGAAGGGGAACCTGGAATAGGAAAAACCACTTGCTGTCAGAAGCTTGCATATGATTGGTCTGTGGAGAGTATATCAGCCGAGGCCCGTTTTCCTAAAGTGAAGATGCTACTTCTGTTGAAGTGCCGAGACATGAAGACTGCTGACATTGAAGAAGCTATTGATGATCAGCTGTTGCCACTTGATGCCGAAGAGAAGGAGAAGGAAAACTTCTTCCGTTTTATCCGCCAAAATCAATCCAGGATCCTACTGGTTCTTGACGGACTGGATGAATTAAGTGAGACTGTATATGAAGGATTGTTACCTTTGATTCAAGGGAGAATCTTTCCTAGTACTTACCTCATGCTAACAGCCCGCCATGAATTAGGAATGAAGGTGCGACGTGAATGTGATACGCTTCTTGAGGTTGTTGGTTACACCGAGGAGGATGCTGACACCTACATTGAGAAGTACTTCAGAGATCACGATGATCCAAGTCTTGCGAAGAAACTCATTAAGAATTTAAGGAAGAATCCTCAGCTAAGGGAATTAACTGCCAATCCACTTAACACTGCTCTTCTGTGCCTAATTTGTGAAGATGCGCAGGGAAAACTCCCTTACAATAAAACCACGTTGTATTATGAAATTGTTTCATGTGCCCTAATGAGAAATTTTCAAAAAAAGGGGATCCCTTTGGTGAACGCAGATCCAATCGAGGTATGTTCAGAGCAGCTGAATCGGTTGGGTGAGTTGGCGCTTGAAGCCTTGGTTAGAGATCAGTTGTATTTTACCACAGAAAAGCTGCGAGGTCATTCAACTGAATTTCTAGACTTCGGTCTTCTTTCTCGAGAAGCCAGTGCAAGTAAAATCAGACCGAAGCCAAGTTATGCATTTACCCACAAGACCTTTCAGGAATATTTCGCAGCATTTCACGTAGCCCATGAACTGCTGACTGGTGGTAAGGACAAGGCTGCCTTGCTTACTCACCTCACTCCTCCGGATAAGTACTGGCCGGTGTGGGAATTCCTGATCACAATGGTATCAAAGAAAAGTGATGATGTGGCTGTTTTTTTGGTGTCAAGTTTGTGTGCTTCATTCCAGAACAAATTGCCAGAGCACTTTAGCCTCCATTATTACTACGAACCGGAGGAAGAAGCTAGCGATGACGAAGATGATTCGGCGGACAGTTATCCTGATTACCAGTACGACAACGAAATTGATGCAGGCGACTGTGATTCTGATGACGACTTTGATGATGATCTTGACTTAGCATCCGATGTCGACATTGACAACCGTCAAGATTACGGGTTTGATGCTAACGTTTGCAGAGACCATTCATTTGACTGGCCTACAAAATTAGGATTGATAGAATGGTCAAAACGAATTGAGGAAGATGTCGTCTTTAACACAATTTTTGTCATTGCTCAATGCGAACAACCTGAAGGTGAGCTAAAGGATTACCAGAAGAAAATGGCATCTGAACTGGCACGCTGCTTTCCGCTGGATAAAGTAACAGTTAGCCATTGGCATACTCATGATGGCTCGTTCTTCGCCCGTCGTTATTTTCAAGTTTTCTCTGAATATCTTAAGGTCCATTGCCAGTTGACAGGTTTATTTTGGATTGCTGAGTTAAATGAAGTAGCATTAGCAACCATTGAACACATCCTTCGATCAAGTGATACGCTGACTTACTTACATTTGTGTGATGACTTACGCAGCACGTCACTCACACCGGCTCTTCAAGCAAATCGCACATTGACGCATCTCAACCTTCGCAATGCCAGGATCCGTATTGCGGGAGCTAAAGCACTTGGAGAGGTTCTTCGACTGAATTGCACTCTGACACATGTGAGTTTGCCTGGTAACGCTATAAGTCATATTGGAGCAGAAGCTATCGCGAAAGGCCTCGAGTTTAATAACGTGTTGGTGCATTTGGATATAAGAGATAACTGGATCGGGGATCAAGGTGCTGTGGCATTTGCTAAAGCTTTTGAGTCAAATTCTACTTTGAAGTATTTTGATGTAGGTATGATGATGGAAATGCTGTACAAACCTGATTTCTTTCGCCCAAAGTCTGACTTTGATGACGTAGAAACTGACTGGATTCGTGACTCAGGAATAAAAGCAATTGCAAAGTCTCTTCGATCAAATTGTTCGCTGACTTATTTAGATGTTC